AGGAGACACATTTAAAACATATGAAGGAATTTTTAAATATCTATGCAGATGTTTTACAATCAAATCATGAACAAGTTGGCCAAGTTCATATTGACTTTAAACGTCAGTGTTTGGATATGACAGTGGACAAATTATTAGAACAATTTGTACAAAGCAAATATACAGGTTTAGAGAAGCCAGGTAATAATCCTTGTAACATACAGCTTGGAGCTTAACATTTTCTACATAATCTCCTCATCATATTAGGTATGTTTGAATATGAAGAAGTCATGACAAGTATAGGAGAAATGACCAGTCATTCTCAATCGGAAAGCAATGTTGAAACACCTAAGGAAACATCAAAAGGAGCCAATGGAGAAACAGGCGTTGCTGGTAACACTCACAGTTCAAAAAAAGATCAGGGATTAAAGGGGGAGGGTTGTCAGGTGGATGAGGAAAAGGGGAGGGTACAAGAAAAAGAAAATGAAAGACTGAATGAAAGGGATAGAGAACTGTCACATGCACAAGCCACCAAGGCTTCCCGCCGTACTACCTCGCTACTCAACCTGTTCATGTCCAACTCCCAGGGTAGGTTTTTAAAGTTGAATAGAATTTACAGAACTTTATTCTCTTTTAATTGCAATAGTTTTTATCTACCTTGGTATAATGTATTTTCAGTTAGTATACAAATTGTTATCATAAAGTAATTAAAATAAATTGCAAAAGTGTTGCATTTAATGAAATAGTTAAAATATATTCGTTTTGAAGTTTTTAAAGTTAACATCTAGTTTAAATTCATTATGTCTTGGTAGATATATTTGGCAGTTTTTATTTATCACATCAATACCATTTGACTTTTCACATATGTACACTTGTTCAAGTTATTTTTAGCACTCAATCACAAATTTATCGATCTAGGCATATGCGAAACAAATTTATTGACTTATGCTTATGTGGTTGTGTTACAATGCTTGTGCATTATAATCTAACAATAGGTGGAGGATGACATTACAAGTTGTTGTGTATTCCAGGGGGTTTACATATATATATTTGTTTTGTCTATGTTAGTATTGTCTAAGTTTATACACATTTTTTCTCAATAAAAGGAGTAATATACTGTGAGCAATATATTATTCCATTTTGTTAATATTTTTTTATTATGAGGTCATTGAACCTGTTTTAATACACACTGGACAATAAAATAATATCACTTAAACATGAAAACATATCAATTACACCCCTCTGGAGTGCTACTTATGCCACTGAAAGTGCAAACTGTAATCAAATTTTAATAGATATAAGTAATATATGAAATAGCAAGATGAAGAAAAAAGGGCCATTGGAGGCACAGATTATTGAAAGATATAAGCAATGAGTGTTGTTTCAGACAAACAGAAGCAAGCAGGGTCTGGTTCGGCACCTGCAACTCCTCAGGGGAACAACCTGCCTCCTGCTGTTCCACCTCCCAGCATCTCCAGGAACCCTCTCAGAGGATCTAAATGTAACTGCTTACATTGTGATTACCTGTACCCTTACCATATCCATTACACGCATTTTAGAGTACTTATTAGACTTTCGGTTATGTGGTACTATTCTATACATATACACACATACAAAAAATTTTCTAAGATATTGCTTTCTTTGGTAGTTAGTTTGAAATGATTAAGGTGAGGGTATATCATTTGTAAATTACTATAGCTTTCTATAACTTTTTTTCGAAACTTTATACAAAGTATAATGAAAAATAATATTGGTGTCTGTTAAAATTAACAGATCTTTGAAACTTTAATGAAAAGTATTAAAAATTTGTCTTATTACTAATAATATCTAATTTGAGGTCTTACCAATTTTATTTACTTTAATCAATTTTTTTTTTAATACTGATTATATGTAATTAACTATAACGGAAATATTGAATTTCTTTGTCCAATTAAAATATAACTAAATAACAAAACAATTGCTCAAACAGAAATTAATGAAAAAGAAGTATTTTTATATAGTTTTAAATGACCATCTTCAATCAAGCACTCCTTTTATATACCTTTATCTTTGTCTTGCTCTATTGGTTATTCTCTATCTATGGTATTTGGTAACAGTTTCATTACCATAGTTCTTTCAACATAATATCTTTTATGGTCATACAGGATATCTGGTTAAATAAAATATCTGGTGACTTACAGTGGTAACGCGTATTATGGTTCCTCCACTCTGCACTCTTTTAGATCAGCAGTGTACGTATATTAACATTGTTTAAACACATTAAATTAATGTTACATGCATAGAGTCACATTGTAAGATAAGTCATAATTTATTGCTAATTCACAGATAATTAGAAAGATACTTATGTAACATTGATTTACTAAGCCTGTGAAGCATTATTTAAAATATTTCTTCGCTTTGACATACATTAATTCACGTTAGGGTGTTTTACGAAGGTACGTTAGCGGTCAATTTATAACAGATTCATTTCCCGTAGACATACGTTCAATTCTATAGAGGGAAGAAATATTTTTTCATTTATGTTTGACTAACACTGAAACAAGCTTGCTTAGACAATAGGCTATAGTTTTAGAATTACATGTTAAACTAACAGGTAACTTAACATTTTTTTTTTTACATAAAGTGTTATTTATATATAAATTGTTTTTCTAACAATCTTTTATGTAAATTTGTATCAAGGGGTTCTTCTATCAACACGACACATTCTGAAATTCTTTAATATATTTGTTTGCATTTATGCTCACTCAGTGGAAAAGACATTGTTGATTTAATTGAACGTTAGACTTAAGAGGAATTGCATTTTGGAAAGTTTCTGAAATTTAAGTTGCATATAGAATGTATAATGTAATTAATAGCAAATTTTTTTTGTACGTATATTCATCCATAGATCCTCCTTTTTTATTTCTTTGCAAGAATCATCAATAACATATGAAGTTTAACCGGCAAAACGAGCATATACGGTATGGCAATTAGTTGTGAATTAATTTTTGAAACTTTCTCTGTTGCTCTCATAATAAACACACGTGTTCTCATAGAGTTAATTAAGTAAAGGGAGTTGGACTTGGATAATGTTGAAATACAAATGTGGGGTTGGCTACTGACGGGGCCTCAGGTGAGCCATTTTTATGAGTCTGTTACTGCATGGCTCACTTGTAATTTGTATTTATTTTCCAAGTGCAGATATCTTTCGTGATATAGCGTAATGTGATTCTGCAAGCAACCCCTTTTTATTTATTAGCCGCATCGTTGTTTAAAGTAGTAGTTACTGTAAATGTACCTCTATTGTATCGCGATATCTCTTCTCCCATTTTTATTTTTTATTCTTTTTCGTTATTTCTTGTTTTTTTTTCTTTATTAAATTAATTGAATGTTTGTAACGTCGTCGCATATAAAACGATCGATCTGTCCAAGGTTCAACAATTATTCGATTACTCTTGTAAATCATTGCAGTTCGTTTTCTGATCTCTAACATTGTTCGTAATTTTGCATGTCGATAGTTATAATATCCTTGCTTGCAGAACATGTGTATCGTATGCTCTACCGATTCTTAGAGAAGTATATAAATATACACATATACATATATATATTCGCGAAAAGATTGCATAACCTCCTATATATCTATATTGTTAATTGTTTTGAGATATCATATCCTAACATTATAATATCGTAGGAGGTATATAATTGTTAGAAAAACAATTTAAAGGAGAGACTGGACTTTTGCAGATCCATATACGATTTGATGGTGGTGGTGTATGGGTTTTCTTATACCTCTGCTAATGTAACGTGCTACTACTATTTTGCTATTTTCTCTGTATTCCCCTATGTTTCGTTTTGTCTGTTTTCATGCAGGCGTTGAAACCTTGTTAGCGTCTTTTTAGAAACATGCCGATGTGCTTTTCTGTTCGTATCTTTTACAATGAAAAAGAAAATAAGAGAGATATAAAGAATTACGAATAAATCACGAAAGTATAAACATAGAACTGGTATAGAAATTCATATCGGCATAATTAGTAAGAATGTCGTAAATAGAAAGCTCATAAAGAATGCATCCGCTACTTGTTGATCCGGTGACGATTATTTTGTTTGATACGTAGACGTTCTTTAATCACGTTGCGCTATGCCTTAAACACTTGGAAAGTAAATTAATTTCCATCTGTCATTTGACACGCAGATTTTAACTATTAATTTCTCGTACGAGAAGACATTAACTTTTTTTCGTACAAATACGTTGACACCGCAATACGTAGTTTCTTTCCGCTTCTTAGTCTTAGTTTATTTAGTCACTTTGTTTTACTCTATGTTAAGAGGAGTATTATCGTTGTTTAATTGAGACAATCAACGAATTAATCACCTGATAAAAATTGTTTCTCTCGTATATAAATACGTAGTTACATACATACACACCTTATGTAAGTATAATATCCTTTAATATTAAACGGAATTTTTCTTTTTTTTTTCTTCTAATTTTCATGTACGACATATATACACCATGTGTATATAGATATAAGAGAAAGATAATTTTTATCGATTAGTATTAATATTAGGATAATTATTAGAGATTAGAAATTATCGTCGTGCAATCGATTATTTTTCAAAATCGAGCATTCAGATTTCACCACGAAAAAAATTAAATTAAGAGTCGCTTTGTTTTCTACATATCGTGTGTCCACGACCAACAGGGTTTCTTCGCAGCAGGAGAGAAAAAAGAAAGGAAAAGAAAGCGAAAAAGAAGAAGGATATTGTGGAAACGAGCAGCAACAAAGAAGAAAAGTCTGACCTGTCAGTATACGCATGTTCAGCAGATCTAGTGCACCAAAACAAAAAAATAAAAAGAAAAGAAAAAAAGATCAATTTCATAACCAAATTTTCAACAAACGTGTATCATTTTGTTAAGCAATTATCAAAAAAGTTCTCATTTGTCAAAAGATCAATAATATCTTTCTCTCTTGAAACATGAAAATCTTGATGATGGAACTGATCTTGAAAGTTTCTCAATTTTCCTTCTCTTCAATTTTTATTGGCACGTTATCACTAAAGCACAAAAGATACGCGCGCGCACACGCACACACACATACACACACAGTGATTAAAGCTATAACTTTTTCGAAGAAAAAAGAAAAGTTAACATTTTTTCTTTA